ATTCCAGCCCAGGGAAGCATCTGGCAATATTTGCAAATGTTTAGATGCCTTTTCGATGTTTATCTTCTCTGGCTTTGTGGATTAATTGCAATGATTTGAGCTATTTCTATGGTTTAAACAGGTGAGGCTTAGCTTTGTATAATTAACTTTATACCATTTACCAAAATTAAATGAAGACACACATAAGATTAAAGAGGAGATGCTAGGTAATATATTTTTTACTGGGGAATGCAAATATAGTGTTTCTAGCCAAAACACACAGCAAGAAAGGCACTTCAACAACGTAACGAATGCCAACGGCAGCTGCAAAGGCTAATGGGAAATATAGTTTGTAGTTCAGTATTTAAATACCCCTGAAGCAGAGAGACTCATACTTTTACAAATTCGAATGTCCAATTTGTTCCCGTATCCACACGCTTCTATGTGCTTTTCATTGATCTGTCTGCTAGCCTGTTAGTCTCGAAGCAAGGGATTAAGAGGTCACTAATGCTATAATATAAAAGGCTTTTATGTGAAATAGCACATTTAGACGTGTTCAAATGGATATATAAAAGCTATGGGACTTGACATGATATTCAAAGGTGTTATTCTTCCTTGTCTGTTAAATTTGAAACTTTTATAACAAGTTTAGGCTTTTATGTATGAGTGACCAAGTTTTGATGCAAAATAATTCCTTCAATTCTCTTCCATTGTACCTTTTTTTTTATTTATTTTTTTAAAATAATGCTAGCTGACTCATCTAATATGAGATTTGTGTATTGATACAGTTAACAGCATTGCGACATAAACACAAAACAAACTCAAACATCTCTGGGGTCCTTACTCAGGGAATTAAGGGTTTAGGCCAAATTAGAGAGATTCTCAAATTCAAGCATCTTTATTTATTTTGATATTTTTACCATTATTAAATTTAGCAATTCTCATGTCAGTTCTCCACAATTTATGGTTAAATCATTAAACATCTTCTGTCTTATTTTTGTGTTTAAAGGTAACCATAACCACTGCATAATAATTTAATTGTTATGGTGTTAGGAGGTTCCTGGCACTGGCTTACCTTTCAGGGTTAAACCATTGTTTAATCCAGTGCCGGTTACCTCTCCCCCTCTCTTCTGCTTTTATCTGAGACTTGAATCAGGAAGTCTGAGACAGCTACAGACAGGGGCGCCACTGATTGGCTTAAAGAAAAATATGTACGTTTCTCAAGCCGTTTTGTGATTGGTGAGCTACTGACTGACTTAGAGTGTCAACTGACGCTCTCAGCCAATCAGCAGTGCTCCAGAACGAGGCTGTCCGAGGCTTTCTGATTCAAGATTCTGACAAAAGCAGATAGAGCGACAGAGCTAACCGGCGTGGGATTCAGTAATTTGGGGTTCAACTCCTAAACATAAGCTGGTGCCATAACAGTTTCATTCCAATAAAGTTGCTATGGTGCCTGGAGGTTTTCTTTAACTCCTTTAAGACTAGGTTTAGGTTAATATGTCCATTGTCTTATGCAGATTAAAAATCTTTCAATGGGATACATTTTATTTGCCTGCAAGCCAGACACCTAAGACTTTTTCACTAATCTTAAAATTGTAATGATTTAAAATCCAAATGGCTAACATAGAAACACTGTGACAAGAGATTAATTATAGAATTTATCCAAATCAGTTATTTTTGCCTTAAATTTGCAACTGGGATTTCAATTTGCGTAATTAAATATAACCTGTTACTGTTTTGCCCTAGTGAAACAGAATAATTAAATCATTTCCTATACTTTGCAAACATTGTTTAATCGAAACAAAATACAAATTATATGTGGTATAAACATTATGTTTAAAGGCAGCATGTTGCAACAACAAAGCCATGTTTTCAAGCTGTTATTTTTTTTTTTATAATAAATTATATGTCCTTGGAATTGTTTAAGAGTAATTATGGGATTTCTCAAAAAAAGAGATAAATACAATATTGTGGGGGGGAAAAAAAGTAAAGTTTTTTTTTATCATTGAAAAAAGATTTGGATTTGTCTGTCATTGAATTAGGTGCATAGCCCAGAACCATTTATATTACAAAATACTGCCAACATACACATTAATGAAAACAATAGAAACATAGAAACATAGAAACATAGACATAAACATAACAGCATAACTAGCACATTCAATCATGCATAACAGAAATGACAAATAATCCTTATCTTTTTATTTTTGCACAGCATCACGAATAATTAGAGAATGTGATGGATCCAGCAATCGCACAATCCAGATTTTTGATTGGACGGTGTCCTCATTTCTCAAATGTTGCAGTTTTCGTAAAGGCGTAATATGCCGCTTAACTTTTACATTTGAATATATTACAATTAGAGTTGAGCAAACCCGGACTGTAACGTTCGGGTTCGTACCGAACATTACGTTTTTTGGAGTTCGGTGTTCCGCGATTTAATGGCGCGTTTTGAAAGGCTGCAGGGCAGCCAATCAACAGGCGTTTGACTCGTGTGCCCTCAGAAGCCATAACAGCCATGCCTACTAATGGCATGGCTGTGATTGGACAGTGCAGCATGTGACCCAGCCTCTATATACAAGCTGGAGTCGCTTAGCGCCGCACGCACATGAGGTATTATTAGTGTAGGGAGAGGATGCTGCCGCTGTGAGGGACAGCTTAGGAAAGAATTTTGCAAACTAGTACATTAGTGGGGTGCACTTCATATCTGAGAGTCAAATAGAAGCATCTAATAGTGCGCTTACAGCGCAGTTGTAAACATTCTAATTTTCTGGGAGCTAAATAGTACATTTGGGGTGTGCACTTCCTATCTGGTGTATGTGTGCAACACTGGCTAGTTACCGCTTTTCAAGAAAGTCTAAAGACAAATAAATGTTGCCTATGGTGCAGGTAGTATAGAAGGCAAGACTGAGACAAATCATTCGGGTTACGTTTGCCTGTTGACATGTTAATTATCTTAGACCATTAAAATTCAATTATCAATGAAAAAACACACTAAGTGTCATACAAAAATATGTATTATAGACAAGTTAAAAACAAGACTACAAGTCATGCTATAACACAATTAAACAAGTTTTAAAATATGTATGGGCCAACCAGTGGCTGTACAAACAAAGTTTTACTGGTTACATCCATGACTACACACTCTAGTGAACAGGACCTTCATGTAGTGTGTTCCCTTTTTTTAAAATCATACAGCATCCTTTCATGTGCTTTTCAGATGTCATATTGTTAATTACCAATTTTTGTTTTGCCTGATTTTTAAAAAAAAGTTAAAAATAAGTGTTATTGTGATCGCTTCATATACAGAAGCATTAATATACATTTCTATTTTGTGTAAAGGCACAACTACAAAGTTAAAAACCAAACACCAAAACAACGTGCCAGACAATCTACCTGTGCATGGCTAGTGTGATACAATAAGTGTACATCTTAAAAACCCACAGAAGATGGGCGAGAATAATTTTTTGCAAATGGAACTGTGACGGGAGCAATCTCACCAAATTGCATTGGAGAAGCCTGGTTGCTCGCCTGTTGCCTCTGGACTATGGCCCCATGATAAAACGCTTGATTTTCCCCTGCGGAGACACGAAAGCCGGGTCATTCGGTGCTGGCCCTGTTTGAGCGGTGATACTCCAGATAGCTATGCCATGGAGCCCATTCGTATAATGAAAGACTATGGGAAAGACTTTGGCTCCACGGCAATTGAACTGTATGTGTGTGCTCTGAGCGCCATTCAGTAATAATGTGCGCTCAGATCTGAGCTATCTGGGGATATGTACCTGTTTTGTACAATGGCTGCACAGTTATATGTTTTTATGTGTTTTATTGTCTTTTGCTGCCATGTGTTCAGTGGAGTTTTGCCTCTGTCCTTGGAGATAATTGGATTACTTCCCAATTATCTCCAGGATAGAAGACTCTGTGGAATTGGTTTTGGGCAGAAAAGCCATGCTTCCTTTGGTCACAAAGGACTACGATCTATCTTTTGAACCACTGGACCAATTTGGATGATTTTGACTAATGTTTGTATTTGGAGTATGCCGTTTATGTGAATGTGATGCATACTTTTCAAGTTATGAATAATGTGGAAAAATTTTATTTCTCTGCTTGTGATAATTACATTACCCATTGTGTAAGGTAATTGTATCACAGGCAGAGGGGAGGATTTTGTGTGGGAGTGTCTGAGTGTATTGTATGTGTTTATTGGTTGTGTTCCAAAACCCTGTGGGTGGTACTAATGTGTATATAAGAACAATAAACCCACAGCTCTGACTGTTCCTGCTTGACCCTCAACATGGAGCCTTGTCTTGTTCTTGGGGGTATTTACTGTATGCTGTTCCAGTTTGACTGCAAGGAGTGTAAACCTATTCATATGGTTTTTCCTATTCGGCTGTTTACAGCATTCGTATGGTTCTGATTCAGCTGTTTACAACATTCATATGCTTCTCCGGTTCGGTGGATTGGTGTCTACAGTAGCTGCCTGTATATCTGGAAGGGAAAATCCTCTAAACAGCGGTTTAACCCTTTTATGCCTGGGGGTGCCGTTACAGGAACTTTGATTCAAATTTACTACATCGGTCACTTGTAACATTGTTTCACACCTACAACACTTGTTACACAGATCTAAGTGATAGAAAACAGATTGATATGTTCTACACTAGAAGCTACCAGATAACAAGCTGCTATATTTAAACCAGTTATCAATAGCTAAGAGGTACTTAAACAATATTGTAATTCTGGGGCAATATCCTCACAAGTCAAACTGAGAGGTCAGTTTATAGGGAAAACTGTTGCCTGGATACAATTCTAAAACAATTTCCATATGTCCTTTGCAGACTTTACATGCTGGAAAAACACAGGTGCTAACTGCTGTGGCTTTCTGCAGTGTGCATACCGGCAAGAAGGGCAGGGTTGAGGAGTGGGTAGAAGATGAAGTGGAGGATGTTGAGGTCCTAGACACCACATGGAATCAAGGTCATGCGAGTGACGCGTTGGGAGTGGGTAATTTGTGCGCCTGCTGCCTTCCTTGCATGTGGTAGCCGTTTGTCAGGGTCACTGTACGGAATCGAACCCTGATTCCCCGTTACCCGTGGTCACGATGGTAGGTGCAGTCAATGGCATCGAAAGTTGATATGGATTGACATATGAATCCGTTGTCGCCTTCTAGTTGGGGAGCACATTGAAAAAGTGATCTAGCATGACGAGCTGGATGATCTTCTCTGGGAACTTGGCTTGATGGGAGTTGAGCCAGTTCTGGGTGGCCCTTGTGATGCCACGGTGTATACCCAGATATATCAGAGCTGCTGCAGAAAGTGCGGGCTGTCTGTGCACACTTTTGGCGTTCTCACCCTGCTGCTGCTCGCCTGTCTGCGCTGCAGCGTAACTTCGGCCTTCCCACTCACCGCTTCATGAGACTGTGCGAGCAGCAGCAGGCGATAGTGGAGTTTCAGATGCAGCACACACGGGTCAGTCGCTCTGCGGAACAGTTTTCTTTTTTTATATGTCCCAATATTTTGGGGGCTACCCCAATTAAAATAAAAAATATATATATATATAAACAGTGTTGGCTACCTCCACCTCCTCCACCGCTGCTTCCACCTACACCGCCACGGTCACCGCCTCCTCAACCTATGGGTCACTTAGTATAAACTATGTACACAATAGCAGAGGCTTGTGAAGGCCTTTTCTCCATGCATCAGGAGTTGAGCATTTCTCCATGCATCAGGACTGCAAGAAATGCACCGCAGGATGCAAATGTTTCTTTTTTATATGTCCCAATATTTTGGGGGCTACCCCAATTAAAATAAAAAAAAGATATATATAAAAAACAGTGTTGGCTACCTCCTCCTCCTCCACCGCCGCTTCCACCTACACTGCCACGGTCACGGCCTCCTCAACCTATGGGTCACTTAGTATAAACTATGTACACAATAGCAGAGGCTTGTGAAGGCCTTTTCTCATTGCATCAGGAGTTGAGCTCAGTTTGAACAATGAAAGAGAATACCTTGCACTCCAACCCTCTCTCTCAGCCATGCTTTAGATTTTGATTTATGTTCTTCCAAAGCTAAAATCAAAGATTCCATCTAGTGGTATTTCATGGCTCAGCTGTATTTTTAATTTTATGTTATTTTAAGTGATTTCTCTATCCACATTTGTTTGCAGGGCACTTGTCCTACTCTTACCCCAGTTTTACTTCCTTGCAGCCCTCTAGCCCTTTCCAGGACTTTTTTAGAGGCATTTTTGTGCCCAAAAGTTTGGGTCCCCATTGACTTCAATGAGATTCGGGGTCAAGTTCGGGGTCAAGTTCGATCACGAACCCGGACTTTTTTCAAAGTTCGGCCGAACCCGTCGGACCCGAACATCCAGGTGTCCGCTCAACTCTAATTACAATCAAACTATTGCAAAACAATTACACTAACGAGCAAAAGAAAAGATATATATTTTTTCATTATACAACAAAACTGATAATTACAACTTTTCTGGGAATATTTTATTTAATATTTCCTGGTATTATCCACGGCTGTCTACATCAATGATGGATAACCACTACTAAAGACAAACTAAAAGGGTGCCTATCCTCTGCCCTCAAGCTGTTGGACTAAAATGACCATAAATCTCTGACAGCCAACTTCCACGACTCTCAGCAGGCTGTGCTCAACAAATGATAGTCGAGGATGATCTGAGATGTAGTTTAACAACACCTGGCTATTGGGTATCCTCAGTCTTGAGATCAGTGGTTTTTAGCCCCGAGGGTCGAACCTAAATTTGAATCTGGATGCTATTTCATTGGGTAACCACGGGATAGAACATTAATTATCCCAGGACCCAGGTCACTACTCACAATACGTTTGTAATTTTTCTTCCAGTGCGTAGAACAGTTAGAAAAGCCCGGCAAAGATTATGTTTTTTAGAGTTTAGTTCAGTATTTATTAAGTTAAAAGTGAAGAATGGGTCGCCAAGCAAATGCCATTTAGATATTCTATGATCTTTCTAAGTGAAGATGGATCTAAATACAATGTCAACCTCCAGAAATGTATGAATTAGCCAACAATGAGCCATCGGCTGGCTAATGGATTGTGAGATGATGCAGTAAAAAAAGAAAGTAAAAAAAAAAAAAGAAAAAATACAACAGTTCAGCAGCTTCTGCATAGCACAGGAAGTGGCTGAGATTTACTTTCATCCAATCCTGGTGCTCAATTAATTTTCTATTCTTGTATTGTGCATATAGCACATGTCATGTCAAGGCTTCTTTTATTCTTTAACGGGCCTCATTAATGTTTGTTTTTAAAAAACAAAGGCATTTGTTACTGCATACAGAGGCTGAGCGACAGAGCCCATTTAAATCACGGAGCAGATAACTACATCTAAAATGAATAGGGAGATAAGGACAGGGATCTCCTTGCATCATAGCCTATGCTAGCAGTATAGTTTGTCATGATGTTGGAATATCCAATTAAAGAAACACTCCAAGCACCACAACCATGATAGCACACTGTAGTGGTTATGGTGGAAGCTCTCGGCCTGAGTTAAACCCGGAAATGCAGGACTTGCTCATTGGCAGAGACTGATCAGATGACACTTTCAGCCAATGAAAGCAGGAGGAGTAGTGGAGACAGTTAAACTATTCTAACACAATCTCACTACTTACAATGGGAGGGGGAGGCATCAAGGAACTCCTGGTACCATAACCACTTCAGACAGAGTGTTCATTTAAGATATCTCTCTACAATGCCTTTCTATTTAAAGGACCACTATAGGCAATCAGACCACTTCAGCTTAATGAAGTGGTCTGGGTGCCAGGTTTAACCCTTTTTTCTATAAACATAGCAGTTTCAAAGAAACTGTTATGTTTACATTAGGGTTAATTCAGCCTCTAGTGGCTGTCTCATTGACAGCCGCTAGAGGCGCTTCCGCGCTTCTCACTGTGCTTTTCACAGTGAGAAGACGCCAGCGTCCATAGGAAAGCATTGTGAATGCTGTCCTATGAGACTGGCTGAATGCGTGCGGCTCCTGCTGTGCATGCGCATTCAGCCGATGATGGCGATATGGAGGAGGAGAGGAGGAGGAGAGTCCCCCGCCCAGCGCTGGAGAAAGAGGTAAGTTTAACCCCTTCCTCCCCCTAGAGCCCGGCGGGAGGGGGACCCTGAGGGTGGGGGCACCCTCACGACACTATAGTGCCAGGAAAATGAGTATGTTTTCCTGGCACTATAGTGGTCCTTTAAAGGGATTATATAGTGCCAGGAAAACAAACCCGTTTTCCTGTCACTATAGGCTCTGACATTGCCCCCCTCCCTCGCGCTCCTCCCTCCCGCGGCGCTAAAGGGGTTAAAAACCTTTCAGTCGCTTATCTGAAAAAATCTTCAAGGTCCCTCGGCGCTGGGTCAGGCTCCGCCCACACTCCCTGACATAGGCACAGGAGACCTAATGTGCCTGTGTGGCAATGGCCGCGCTTGGATTAGAATTTCCCCATAGGAAAGCATTATTCAATGCTTTACTATGGGGACAAATTTTACACTGGAGGCCCTCATGCAGAGCATGAGGACTTCCAGCGTCAAATAACGGACCGAAGGTCCATTTCGTTTCCGGAAATCCCTCCCTGGTAGACAGCCACTAGGGGAGGAGTTAACCCTTAGAGGTAATTATTGTAGTTTCTCATTCACTGCAATAATTACCACTGTAGGGTTAAGAGACATTGGACATTGCATCCAGATCACTTCAATGAGCGGACGTGGTCTGGGTGCCTACAGTGTCCCTTTAATGTTAAGCACTCCTCTTTTCTAAATTTGTGTTCATGCTACTCTCAATTTTAATAAATAAAAATAATAAAATAAAATAATGACAAAAAAATACCAGAGAGAGAAATAGGATAGGCACAAGCATTTTAAAAACAGTGCCTTCACCCAAGAGATGACTAGACTCTTCAAACAAAACAGGCAACATTTCAAGTTCATACAAAGCCAAACTATTGCCCGTTTCTGTCCAATAAATCCACCTCTGACCTTATACCTGTACCCAAATCCTTGATTTCTTCACATACTCAATTTTAGTGACATGCACCCCCTTTGCCACTACAGAAGGTAATTTTTTTTAATACATATTTTGGCTGCGTTGTTTTTGGAAACGTTCAACATTTTCACGGCATTGAGAGCGATTACATGTTTACGTCCTAATTAGCAAACTGTAGTTGACTTACATTTGGCTATTCACTTATCACTCAAGGTTTTACAATTCAATGTTTAGTGAATAAGCCCGCTCACAGCGTTGCATTCCTGTGATCTATTTCTGCCATGGATTAAGCAACACATGGGTTAGCCTGTGTTTTCTGCGTAGGCAGGGGAATTTTCTAAAATGCTCTTATTAAGCTGTGCCAGGTTTATCGACTTAGAAAGTAGTATCTAAAGTGACTTCGCTGTGTGCAGAAACAGGAAATTCTTAGTGATCTCTGATTCAATATTACCTAGCTTAATGCGCACATCACAGGTATCTCTTACATATTTATAAGAGTTCCCAAATCTCGTAAATCTCTCCTTTATATGTACAGACAAGTTCTGTCTTACTCCTAGGCATACATCTCCAGCGTGAACGCAAATGAAATCGCAGGAACTGAGAACTGTTAAACCCTCATTTCTATAGAGAGACTTTCCAGCTACCATTGTGCTTGATTGGTTATAACATAACGTCCGTGTGTTACGTGTCTTAAATCATTTAGTGTGTTTTTTCCCCCCACACAGTAAGGCTTTTGTATAAGACAATTGTCCATTAGGATGCCTTGATTGGAAACTTAAACTTGTGGTTTTACCTACAGTGTCACATATGACCACTGGGGGCATCTGAAACACAATATACTTATTTTATTGGCTTGTTACTTTCTACAAAGATCAGTGTTTAAAGGGGACACTCTAAGCACCAAAAGCACTTTAGCTAAATAAAGCTGCTGAGGAACCATTGGTGGTAGATGCGTAACACATAACATTTTTTTAAAGTTCATTTTCTTTTTCTATTTACCCCCCTATGTATTTTTTACAGTTTGTAGATGCGATTTTACTGTAATTCATAGATTATTCTGGATTTTTGTGGTCTGTCTTACTGCCACGGATCAATAAACAGCACTTTTCATGGAACTTCCTTGTGAAAATGAATGGGATATCAAATGAGTGCAGACATTTTTTACTTTTTTTGTTTATATTTGCA